GATGTGTGTTGAGCCCTCTCCTGTTTACTCTGCTCACGTATGATTGTGCAACGACCCATTCAGGCTGTCACATTGTAAAGTTTGCATATGATACAGCGGTGGTGGGATGCATCACAAACAATGATGAGTCCAGCTACAGGCCAGAGGTGGAACACCTGAAGAGCTGGTGCAAAGAGAATAACCTAAAAATATATAAATAGATCGCTTCACTGTATAAAGCCTTATTTGCATGGGAATAGTTTTGCCTAAGGACCAGTGCAATCTCCCCAACGTCTGCATTTTATGTGGCACATTCGCATGGGATAACCAAAGCCTGAAATTTAGCTGAAATTTACGGACATCTTCCGACCGGGCTGGTCCATATAATGTGTTTAATGTGCGGTCCCGGACGGTCTCAGGCTTTGATGTGGTTTTACCAATCAGCACAAAAAAAACATAAAGAATGCACAATATAAAATTGTGTTAATCTACTTGAGGAGGAGGCAGGTCCGACCAGCCAGTTTAGGTAAAAAAAAAAAAAAAAAGTCACGTTAAGCTCAGATGGTCAGCTGTCACCAGCTGCGCGTGAGCGGCCGCTGACAGCTGACCTGCCGGTTGAAATGGATTTGCAACCTGTCCAGGGTGTCCTCTACCTCTCGCACAGTGATGGCTAGACATGGGCACCAATGACTCCTGCTACCTGAAAAGGAAGAAGTAGGTAGGTTAAATGTATGGATGGACAGATGGGTCAGTTGATCACACCCGCGTCTCTGCACCTCCTGTCATCTGCGATGAAAGAAGTAGCAGCTCATAAAAGCCAAAGCAAAAAAGAAAATATGGTGTTTGATGACTGGCCGGTTTAAGAGGTAAAAAAAGCAACATTAAGCTCAGATGGACAGCTGTCAGCTGCGTGAAGCTGACACCCCACCCAGAAACCAAAGCAGCACAAATGAAAATTTTAACGGCACAAACCAGCCCAAATGTAGCACTAACCACTCATAGTATTTGCCATCCATCCATCCATCCATTATCTTTACCCGCTTATTAGGCCCGAGCAGCTAAGCGCTGCGAAGGCCTATTGTAATTGTGTCGTTTAGTATTATTTTTCTTGGGAATTTTGAGACGCATATTTGGAGGCCTTAACATATCCCAAAACATATCACCAAACTTCACCAAAACTTGTCCCCCACGTGAAATTGTTGTACTGTAATGGAACCAAAAGTGGGCGTGGCCAAACTGCTCCACAGCGCCCCCTAACGTGAGATATGACAACTGGTAAGTCGTAGAGAGCTGAAATTTGGTACATGTGTAGAACCCACCAAATCAAGAAAAAAAGTCTCTTGGAGGTATGCCTTAAACCCAACAGGAAGTCGGCCATTTTGGGTCAAAGGGTCAATTTTGACCGTTTTTCACTTTTCGTACACGTCGAATTTGAACAAACTCCTCCTAGGGATTTCGCTCAATCGGTTTCAAACTTTCGCCATTTTGCTCGGTAGGCATGGGGGACGAAAAGTTATCAAAACGGTGCAAACCGAAGCATGTTGAGGGGGCGGGGCCAGACCTCAAAGTTATGCTTCACGCCATAAATTTCCAAATGCTACAACTTTCACATTGAAAAACAGAATTGCACCAAATTCGGCACAAGTCATCCCTGTCCCATGCCCGACGATACCCTGAGGTCAAATTTTGACGTCATCTAAGCCCCGCCCCCTCAGAACAGGAAGTGACTTTTTTAATTGGAATGCTCCCTCCCTAACACTCTTGACCCAATCAGGATGATCCTGTGTTAGAAGGCAGATAACAAGTTGGTCTGACTTGCTTTGAAGCGCAAAGCGTTTCCCCTGGAGGATGTGGGCGTGGCGGCGTGGCGAAGTCAGAAGTGACGCCGTTACAATACGTTTGGCTCTAAATTCCACAGATTTG